TATTGTATACTGTCCATTACTATGGAGCGGAGCTGATTTACATTTCACTGCTGGTTATATATTCTCTATATTACTGTGTATGTGACAAATAAAATCTTCAATCTTAAATTAACATGAAATCATTGATTGATTGATTTATTGATTGACTGACTGATTGATTGATTGATTGATAAGTGTGTGGTGCTAGTTAGAAATATTATCTACATCAAATTAAATTATCTGAAAATCCCAAACAATTTCTTTTAATTTGTGTGACAGAGTTATGTAATATGACAGAAAACATGAGCAAAATAATAAAACCTAAAATGATGATAAAACCCCCTAAAATTATAAATTAATCAAACCTTTGACTAATTAATCAAACCAGGGAAATAATTTAATTTGATATTTAATAATTACATTTTCTTAAATACCTGACAATGCTGGAAAATAAGTGTAGAGAAAGCTGTTAAAACCTTCTAAAAATGATTTATTATTTATTGTAAAATTATTTTTAAATATTAACTTCTTCCTGTCAAGACATAGTCGATTTCTTTGAAATAGCCTCTACATAATGAGATATTCTTTGAGATAATAAGACATTAATATGTATTTTAGTTATATAAAAAAACCTTTAATAATCTATAAGCATTAAGTTACGGTCTGACGACAAGATGATTTAATTAGTGATCATGTAATGCCATCAGGTAAAACTAAAATAAGAAAATAAAGGTCAATCTAATGAAAAAATAGTTAATTTTTTAACTTTCTATTTATCAAAGAATCCTACAAAAACTTTATCACTATTTCCACAAAATATTAAGCAGCACAATTTTTTTCAATATGGATAATGATAAGAAATGTTCTTCTTTCAAAAACATTTGAACAGTAGTGCAGATATTGCTTGAAATATCTATCTGCTGCATGTACCGCTGTACAAAAAGTTCAATTTCATCACTAGCAAAAGAGCAGCAAGTACAGTCCATCTTAAAGGTCAGATTTTGAAAAACAAATGAGTTGAGCATTGTGAAAAAAGAGAAGACTTTTTGTCTTTTCTAGTAATGGGCCATCATTGACGGCAGGCGTTTCTGATTATTCCGTCACACTTGCCTATGTGGCTGCATGTGTGTTGTTGCCTGGAGCAAAGCTGGGATGTAGCTACCCAGAAGGCTCATACTCATATATATCGCCTATATGTGCTGCAGAATTGTGGTGGAGAGTGAAGGCTGACACATTATATTTAAGTATGTATTTATAGATACACAGAGACTGCAATACTGCTGAATTTTAATAGTCGTGACAGAGACGGCACGATTGAGGGACGGTGCATGCAAGTATGAGGGAGCAGAGAGAAGGATTTTAAATAGATAGATATGGAGACAGCTCAGAAATAGATATGAGAGGACAGAGCAAGTGCAAATGCAGTCAAGAATATGAAGAAAAAGAGAGAGATGCGCTGAAAGAAAGAGCTGTAAAATGCTGAGAATGTCTCAGGTAGAGTCGCTGGTGAGCAGAGGGATTGAGGTGGAGTGATGTGCTGTCATATCTCTCCGTCTGTTCATCTCTCACTCTCTCCCACCAGGTACCCTGAATCTTTACCGTCAGCAAGAGAACAAAGTGTGTGTGTGTGTGTGGTGACGTTTTCACTGCTGCCTTGTATATGTGTGTGTAAGACATAGCGCAGTCAATATCAATCTAGATTAACGTGCCGGTGAAACCAGCCACAGAACACACCAGACTTCCATTTTATTGGCTGTACATCTCATTTAAACCCTCTTGAAGAACTACATCCTGTTTGTCATCCACTCTCCTCATCTATTCTGATTAACATGAAATCGAACCAATTAAATAAAGAGCCTTTCACGCACAATCAACCTAACGAACAGCCATAATAAGTATCCGATTCAAATCGTTCTTGGGTTCAATAAAACACAAAGAATGGCTTTGTTATATTAATATGTTTATTAGAATATTAACATATTGATGAATATTAATGAGTAGGCACACTATATCGAGATAGAGGAAAAGAAACGGGACTGCGAGTTTGGTCTGCATGCCTTCTGAATTCAAAACATCAGAAATTAATAACCACAGTAGTAACAACATGCCCGCATAGTGTCAAAAGTTGTTTTTCATAGTGTACTATGGGCTTAAATAATGTAATGGACATTATTTAGATTAATGTGTACAGCTTTATATCGGTGTGGTGGTGCATGTGTGTGCATGAATACATCAATATATCAACAATATAGTGGATGCAAAAAAATAACCTCAGTATATTCATGAGTACTTTGTGCAGTTGAGGCTAACGTTCACTTGATTTGTGTGCAGGTGTGGTGTCGAGCTCTCCAATCTAGTTCAGAGCTGATAAAAGAACCAACGCGAACAACATCAGTACATGTGTGGGCATTAATAATCCACTAAAATTCAGCTCCACAGTCAAAGGTACAACTTTTTAGAGTAAGAACGCCAATCTAACACACTTTTACATTATCTCAGATAGAACTACACTGGCAGAGAGATGTGTATCTAACAAAAGCCATATTCTATTCCTCAAAGAAGTGTTGGAGTCTATGTGGATCAAAAGGCAAATCTCACAAATAAAAGAGTGGAGGGTGAATGTTTATTCGTTTATTATCCTTGCACATCCATGCCTTAATTATTATGAATTTGCTTTTTCAAGGTCTACCGTCTTGAAGATCAAAAAGGACCATTAGTGTTTGCCTTTTTGTTTTTCTTTGTGGGCACTCTCATGAGAATGACTGAATCACTGTTATTTGATCCTGACGTGTATCAAAGAAATGTATATATATATATTTTTTAATATGTAAGTACTACTATGTATCTTTTTATGTGATTATCAAACACAATTTAGTATATTGTTGTATATTGTACAGCTGTAGTATATGCTATAAAATTTAATCTTTAAAAAATTAAATAATTCCTATGCACTTTTCTTAGAAAATAACAAAAACACCCTAAGGCGAACTAAGAGTCTGAATCGACAGTATGTAGCTATTGAGTTTTTGCTGAACAATTTGAATTGAACTCTGCGGTTAATGTACCATGAGATGGTCTCATAAAGTTCACATCAGAAACAAACCCCTCGTGGGTGAACATCTTGCCATCTAATAATCGAATCCACATGACAATAACACAAACTCTCGTTCAGTGTCTTTTAGAGCTGATATAGAGTTGCTTGCGTAATGTTTGTCACTTCCTACTATGACTCTGTCCAAGACGAACCCATTTTGAGTCAAAATGTGATTTCCTTTTAAAAACATCTCTCTAAGGAACCACAAATTCTCTATATAGTGAGATCTATACTAGTTTAGCAGCTATAAAACCAATGACCATTTCAGTTTTCACCCTCTCAGCCCTTCACAAGTTCCCTCAGTCATCAAAAGCCTCTGGCGTTGAGCCCTCTCTAAGCTATAAAAAACACCAAGGCCCCACAAAGGCATGAAATGGTAGCTAGTTTTTAATTGGAACATGCTTTCCCCCAGATTCCCAGTATTGACTCCATCCTGTGAGCCAGACAAGAGCCAATATGAGATCTAATCGACAAGGTCTAATCGATAGCACTCAATTTTTGGATCTCATTGCAATCTAAAGCATCTTGTAAGGCAAACCTTCCATCATAGGCATGGCCGGATACTACGATCGGCAGCATGTAACCTATTACTGTTGCCCTAAAAAACAACCGGAGCCACTCTGGCTAATCAATGGCGGGTCTGCGCTGTCATGGACTTTTATCGGCGACCGTGTCGGCACCTTTGTGGAAGGTGTGCAATATTGCGGAGTCATGCTACAATTGTGGTAAGTCTCTTTGTGGTGAGAAGCCTTGTTGATGCCTGAGGCTCTTGTAAGTAATGGAGGTTTGATACAAAGGTGACAATGATCAAAGGGTACAAAGACACAGTTCATTTGCTTCAGTACTTCCATGTGCTTCCAAGTTAAAAAGGTAACAGTGAATGGCCATGTCATATTAACAGTGATGCCTTTGTGAGGATTTCTATTCAAAAAGATACAGTGAATGGAAAGTTCAAGGCTCCTAGTGACAGGCATCTTGCATCCTCTTTTCTCCAAAATAACACTCTGTCTGGTTTATACACTTTTTAATAATGCCGTTCCATGCCTAAAAGTACATTCCCTTCCTTTCCCTGTCTCTCCCAATGGCAGGATGAGACTTCAGAGAGACATGTCATCTATTTTTCCCCTTCTTTCTCCTGCCTTCATAACCAAAAAAAAGAAGAAAGAAGAATCGTCTCCCATTTCTGATTCTTTGCAGTTTCACAGCTCCGAGCTCAGTTGCTTCATCCTGCCTTCTAATTGAATTCCACCATGAGTCGAACCCCAAGATTGGCTCCGGATCAAGAGATGACAGTATAATGCATTTGGTCCGGCAATGAAAGAAGGATTTGGGGTGGAACACAGCTCACTGTGGAAGGGTGAGCTTGTCTTTTTAAGAGACCTGGTCACAGTCACAGTGCAGTTCAGTTCAGCTTTTGATGGATGGCGAAGGAATTCAAGCTCGGGGACATACAAAGACATAAAGACGACTAACCAAGCAAGCTGACCAGACGGTTTACATTATACTAAGAGACGGCAGACACAAGAGAGAGGAAAAGACCAGTAATATTTAGACGTGCAAAGGGTGGAGTCCACATGTTGCTATTTCGAATGTTTACAGGTAAAGAAAGCTAGCTAGACAGCTTGTTTTCCTATCTAGATAGCTAATAAGCTGCATAGCTAGCTATAAATGTATATTTCAATAACAGATAGCTAGCTAGATAAACACGTTAGCTATACAGAGAGCTAATTGGCTAGCTAGTTAACTAAATAGATAGACAAGTTAGCTATAGATGGCTAATTAGCTAGATAGCTACCCATTTAGATAGCTAGTTAGCCAGATAGCTATCTACCTAGCTACCTAGATTAGATAGATAGATAGATAGATAGATAGATAGATAGATAGATAGATAGATAGATAGATAGATAGATAGATAGATAGATAGATAGATTGATAGATAGATAGATAGATCGATCGATCTGCAGGAAGTCCAGGGCGTGTCATTGAACATCATGCTAGTCAGATTTGCTAACAGGCTGTGTGTGCTGAACACTGGCAGGAAGAAAGAGGTTAAAGTGCTACACTTCAGGATTACATACAACAAACAAGACAATTCAGCAGCAAGTCTTTTACATTGTCCAAAAGGGAACATCAGTAGTCCAGGCGATTCTTCGAATTTGGAACTGATATGCTGTAAAGAGCTACTGAAGATCAGTTGGGTCTTTTTTAGGATTGTTTTGATCAGAGGGAGGGTCTAGATCTGCTTTAGGAGAGTTTTGAGAGAAGTAGACTGAAGGAAGACCGCATTCTGGTGTGTGCTGTGGATGTCTGAGAAGATGGACAAGGAACGGAGGATCTCCTGGAATGCTCAAGTTACGGTGAACTCTCCAGAGAGGCTGCAGAGGAAAAACACAGAAGGAAGAAAAGACATGAGGAACACAAACACAAACAATGGACAGAAAATTAATACAGAGACATTTCAGAGGAGATTGCTGAGAATAAGGGAGTGGAGGATTGTCGTAAATAAGATATCTTTAATACGATACTTGGCCAAAAGTATGTGCCCTCTAATTAATGGGTTTGGCTAGACTTCCTAATTCCAGTTAAGACAAAACAGGGGCCCTTTCAGTCCCATGACACAGCGAGGTCCATATAGAGTTTAGAGTGGAAGAACTTGACCGGCCTGCATAAAGCCCAGAACTGAACACCACTGAACACCTTTAGTATGAATTATGACCTCCTGAATGAGAGAAAAACTCTGCCATGTTCTAACATCAAGTAGAAAACCGTAATGTCATTATGCATTAAGCAATAAAAGAGTTTCCTATTAGCATTAAAAGCCCAATTAAAATAAAATGTAGAGCAAAAGAAGACTTTCCTACTGAGAAAAAGAACCCTATTTTCACTACTCTAGTGGATCAGAAAATATCTCAACAATGTCCCACTTATTAATCAGATTTATGTATAAAAAGAAGATGCACTCAGTTTTGTCAAGATGCTAAAACCTTCGGTCAATAGATATTTCAAGATGAACTCAAATATTTCTCATCAAACAACTACTAGAAATTAATAGTATTAATTAGTAGTATATTATATTCAATATTAAAATAAGATTATATTTTATATTAAATTAACGCCACATTAAAGCTCTATATTCTCACTGTCAACAATTTGCTTCTATTTTTATTCTCCTAAAGGAGAATTTTATGTGAAACATCTGAGATGAAACCTGAGATGGAAAGTAAATGAGAAGTACATACTAAGGGGGAATAAAAATGAGGGGAAGAACATAAAGCACATGTGTAGAAACAAACGAATGAACTGATATGTACATAAAAAGAGTCCAGATCGAAAAGAGAATAAAAGAGACAGAGTGCAAGAAGATGGAAAAAGAGGAAGAGAAAGAAAACACAAAATGGTGGTTACAGTGGTGAATCGATAGCTATCCCAGCATTCAGTATCTCAGAGAAGCTCATCTGACCTTTAGAAGTGAAAGACAGGGAGAAGAGAGAAAAAGACAAAGACAAAAATGAAGAGCCAAAAGCAAAGTACGATATGCATCACGATTTAACTGGCATGTGACATCTGTGACATTCAGATAGTGGTATGAGTATGAATTTACCATAATAAACCTTATGTATGAATCACGGTGTGTTATAGCTTGTATTAAGCATCCACACACACACACACATTACATGAGCCCATGTAGATCACACTGTTAGAGCACAAACAGTCCAAGAACACAATGGCTGCTGGCTACAGAGAGCATATCTAGCATTTGAAATTCATTATCATGGGATAGCCTGACAAGCTGTCAAAGCAGTGTACACAGGCTCTCCATCCCAAACAGCCGCATACGACGCTGTTGTTGAAAAAGGGGGAAGAGGGAGGTGGCTCTGGAGGTTCAGCTGAACGATAAAGCCGCCCGTTTTTTGTTTTTGTTTGTTGCAAATCAAGGTCAGGAATTTTCCTGGTCAGGAGTGTTGACATGCTGCACAGAGACAGGTACATATTTAAACACACAACAACGCACACACACAAACACAATCATCTCTACATCTAGCCAAAGGGTACTGCTCTACGGCCATCAACATCATAGAAAAAAATGAATAAAACTGATGTACAGTAAAGACATCTTCACTAACAAAAAAGTAACAAGTACCATGGGAATACCATGTATTTTATGGATGCTACCCTTATGAAAAAATAGTTAAACCATGATAAAAATGTGGTTATACAAATGGTAATCAATACGCCAAAAACATGGATCCTACAGTTTTACTATAATAAAAATAATTTTTGTAAGGGAAGGTAGTACTCAGAGGTACTTATAAAAACACCTTAAAACCACTGTGGTAAATGTCAAACAATATGGTAGTACCATGGTATTTCTTGATACTTGTAAGTGTTGGATTAAAGTAGCCTGTAAATACACTTTTTAAAATGCACACACACACACACACACACACACACACACACAGACACACACACACACGGACATTTGCCTTGGTAGTACCATGGTATTCTTGAGGTGCCAGATTGGTATATAAATATGGCAACCATTCAGTACCATCACCACATAATAGTAATATTTTTGTAAGGGGTTTTAAATGTAATTTTAGATCATGCACTCTTAATTGTATCAAAAATGGTCTATTGCATTTCTTCTACTGAAAATGATTCTGTCAACCTTGAACCTGGATGTCTGAAACTAGAACAATATCACTGTATCACAATTTCAACGGATACCCTTTAACAGAGTGATCTCAGCCAGACTGAACAAGAGCTGAGAAAAAAAACACTACAAATGAGTCATTCCCCTTTTCCGTTCTTTTGATTCATTCTCTTCTCTCCGATTAATTATCACAGGCTGAATGTGACAGCAGGAGAACTGTACCGCGGACCCGCTCCATTCTCTGTCTCTCTGTGCAAGGCAATTCTGAAACAATGAGATCTGCTCTTGCTGCTGGGCTCTCGATGAAAAACCTGCATTCCTGTAGCTTGGATTCAGTGCAGCAAGCCTGCTTTTATAAAATACTTGAACCCCTAACAAAAGAACCAGATGTTTATCAATGCAACCTTTCCTTGATGTGATTTATAGCACATTAAAGGGGGAAAAAGATGACATTAGTTCTTTTCCCTTCTCTATTTCACATCAGTTTTTCTCAGCATTAGTCGAAACGATAGATCGGATTCAAATACATCAGTCGAGGAGCTATGAGAATGGTGTGGGAGAGAGTGGAGAGGAAGAGAGAGAAAAATGGAGCGCCAGGAATCCTGGAAAGCTCAGGAGAAACAGAAGCTGGAGGCTACCTATGCATTCATAATGAGTTCTTACCAGTGTTATTGAATCATAGCACAACCCTCGCCTGCCTCAACGCCAGATTCTCCTCCTTGCCTAACATAACCCTGAGCTTTTGCAGCTCCACCAAAAATTGACAGCTCTTCCCTTTGTAGTACAGCCAAGATGTGCTCTGATTGGACGACTGGAAGGGTTCTACGATGTCTCTGACATGCACAACTTCTGTTTCCGCAAATGACCCGAGGCTATGCTCACAAACTCCGAAGTTAGATTATTGTAGTTCTATTCTTCCCCATTTGATTGGATCAGAAACTGCAGCAGTGGAGAGTGTACTGCTTAAATGTGAATGGAACATGAATCAGTGCAATTAGTTTAACATATTGATATAACCTAAACTAACATTTGAAATGTGGGGTTGAAAATATTTTTTTTATGGTTTTGAAGGTTCACCAATGTCACATTTATTTGTTTAAAATACAGTGAAAACAGTAATATTATTAAATATTACAATTTAAAATAATATTTTAAAATGTTATTTATTCCTGTGATGGCAAAGCTGAATTTTCAGCAGCCATTACTGTTTTTAGTAGAAAAATAATATGTTGATTTGATGCTCAATTATTAATAATGGTTCTTATAATTATCAATGTTGAAAACCATTTTTGCTGCTTATTATTTCAGTACAAATTATAAAAAATTAATAAAAGAACAGTATTTGTACACTCTAAAAAAATGCTGGGTTAAATACAACCCAGCGTTGGGTAAAATATGGACAAACCCAGCAATTGGGTTGTTTTGACCCATCATTTGGGTTAGTATCCAGAAGGTTGGGTTAAACATTTAATAACCCAACCGTTGGGTCACATATTGATATAACCTAAACTAACATTTGAAATGTGGGGTTGAAAATATTTTTTTTATGGTTTTGAAGGTTCACCAATGTCACATTTATTTGTTTAAAATACAGTGAAAACAGTAATATTATTAAATATTACAATTTAAAATAATATTTTAAAATGTTATTTATTCCTGTGATGGCAAAGCTGAATTTTCAGCAGCCATTACTGTTTTTAGTAGAAAAATAATATGTTGATTTGATGCTCAATTATTAATAATGGTTCTTATAATTATCAATGTTGAAAACCATTTTTGCTGCTTATTATTTCAGTACAAATTATAAAAATTTTATAAAAGAACAGTATTTGTACACTCCAAAAAAATGCTGGGTTAAATACAACCCAGCGTTGGGTAAAATATGGACAAACCCAGCAATTGGGTTGTTTTGACCCATCATTTGGGTTAGTATCCAGAAGGTTGGGTTAAACATTTAATAACCCAACCGCTGGGTCAAAAGAACCCAATCGCTGAGTTTGTGCATATTTTACCCAGTGCCGTGCTGTATTTAACCCAGCATTTTATATATATATATAAAAACAGAAGTCTTTTGTAACATTATAAATCTTTTTACTGTCAATTTTCATCAATTTAATGCATCCTTGCTGAATAAAAGTATTAATTTCTTATTTTAAAATCTTACCCCCAAACTTTTAAATTGTATCACAGTTAATATAAATTATTAACTATATAAAAAATAGCACATTAAAGAAGACCCATCAAGCTCGTGACCCATACATAAATTCCATAATAAAATATCATCCTACAGAGTAATTTCAGCTTGAAGCAATAATATGTATTTTAGCATGGCTGGAATGCCAATTTATCATTCATTTTCAAATAATAACGTGATCAATTCATCCTCAAAATGTCATCTGAGGTTTATTTTCAAGAGATTTGAATTTGATGAATTTATGTCCGCATCACTAGTTACACCCTAATGCAGCATCTGTTCTGTTCACACACATATATATTTTTTGTCCATAGGTCCCATCTGTCACACTGTACCCTGTATAGTTCTGCAATTTCTGCCTGCAAGGAAAAAACATTTACAGACTACCACATTTACAGTAAGTACAACATGTTCAATGCATTCTTCCTTGTACACTGCAAAGGCGTAAATAGGTCGTCCTGTTCTGCTGCAACTTATACGTTTTCTTCTCTCTGCCCTGATTTCCAACAACAAACAAAAGATCGCCG